GTCTTTCAAGGACAAAAAACAGCAACTGGATTTTTAGTAATAAAATACAGCCTTGAAGGCCCTGAAAGAAATGTGAGAACCAAGGTCTTTTGAGATTCTCACAGAGATGAAGATTCAACCGAGAATTCAGGTTCTCAGATTCCAGGTGACAAATTTAATACTGTCATTTATTTTTGCAACAGGACAAAAGGGGCGAGATCCCCTTTTTTCTCGCAGGAAAAAGTTTTTGGAACCCACCTGCCTGGGGTTTTGTTTCCGCCCCTCTTCTGAGTAACCCAAGGAGAGCAATATATCTTGATCTCCTCCTGCCAAAACAGAGTTTTGAAGTTTGGTTTTTATGACCTGTTTTCTCTTGGTTTATGGCCTATGTGACAGCAAATTTATTGCTGTCCCAGTTTTTGGCAGTTACTCAGGCTCTCATGTCCCGACAGAAGCAACGTTTCCTGCGCATTTATTTTAGAAACAGGTGTTTTGATTTAAACATCACTCCATATAATCCACTATTCTTGTCCTGAAGAACTGCGTTTGTAATCTCATCTTAGGAATGGTATAAATAGTTCATTGATATATCCATTCAATTCACCCACGGTTCTTCGTCAGAATATATTCAAGCCCAACCAATTGATGATCCATTACTAAGACGAAATTGATGCAAAGTTTCACGATCATGCGCAAATTATTTTGATGCTGAATTTTATTGAAAAACGTATGTTGCACAATTTCATATTTTTGGCGTCTTCATACTTCGCGTTACTAAAACAGGCAATTTCAAAGACGGAAAAGTTTCACTAGTTGGAACCTGAAACATGGTCAGACGCTTTCAATTCATAAATAATGTAAGTAAAAGTCAAAAGTAAAATTCTCATTTACTTTCATTTACAATTCAAACCCCGGCGTGAAAAAAATGTGAATGATGGTCGAAAAATTATGGATTGCCTCCCTCATCCCGTTAAAATTACTTTCATCGCCATACCAATCAATAAAAGAAGCCCGAAATTGACATAAATGATTTTTAAAATAATCGGTTTTTTTTTTTCCGCAAGACCAAAAATCGATCAAATAGTCAGTAAAAGTTCGCAATCCAGGAAGAGTCGTCAATTATTGGTGGAACGACTTCAAACTAAATGTAATTTTATTGACACAATTTCAAGTGATTCTCCTCCTAATAAAAATCAGACCGCATCCGAAATTGGGCAAGACTTTATTTCGGAGGCTCGATCATAAATAAGTAACTTTCTCTCTCAGCGAATTCGCAAAAAATCACAAGACTATTTATTCATATGCATGCATAATTCGTCTTCAGAAAGATTAAAAAAAAAAACTCTACCTTAATCCAGCAGCTCGAGGTCTTTCAACAGCTCATATTCCGTAGAATGAGATCGAGTCGTCATAATCAATAAATAAAAAATCACGAGCACATTAATTTCCTTTCTCTTTCAACCGAATCACTTTTCCTTTCAAATGCTCGGAAAAAAGAGTGCCATTTTCGGACAAATTTCTCGCGCGAGCATAAGAAAGAAAATCTCGCCAAAAGTAGGCGTCGGCGTGACAAGTGAAAAACGTCGGAGAAACGTGACACGAATTAACGCCCGTCAGCTGACAAATTCGAAAGAGAAAAAAAAAATTGGCCGGGGGCGTGTTACGATAAAGCAAGGAGGAACAACGAAAAAAAAAACACGACAACCAAAATTAGCGTCATGATGATATTAAAAAAAAAATGTTCCTTTCATTCTCCGGCTCTCAGCCATGACCCCAAAGAAAAAGGACGTTTAAATTGAGACGACAAAAGCTCACCGGACAAAAAAATAAATAAATAAAATTTCACCATCTAACCGCAGGAAGAAATGAATTGTGCCAAGGGCAATTCGATTTTTGTCCGCTTCCTTTTTTTCTCCCCCAATTGTCTCCGTGAAAATCGTTCGCGGTAAAGTGTGGGTAATTAATCCACGAACAAGAAAATCCCTCTGCTGCTCCCGAAGGATTTTCATCAACCCAAAGAAAAAAATATATACATGACAGCCGCAGTTGACCATTTTCGGCTTTTGTTCCCAAGCCGCAGAATAAAAAAGAAGGGTCTTCATTCCACTGAGAAAATGCGACGAAACTTGCGAATACGTGACTTTGAAAGCAATCAAAAAGTTCCCCCATTGATCACGATTATGCTATTTCGGAAGAGTTATTGCAGTTGAGCAAGCGAAAATATTGCGAAGGAAATTTACGGAGGCAACACACAAACGCGATTCAACCGAAACGAAATGACAGGACGAACTTTCAAATTCGCTCCGGCATCGAGGAAATTTACAATTCTTCATGAAAAGGAAGTGTTTCCGGTACTTGTGCAATACTTTGCGAGAAGGGAAGGACTCTTCTGAAAAAAAAAGGAAGAATAAAAAATCAACACAATTCAGCGTTTGTAACTTCGCAGAATGCTAATGAGGAACGAACGCCGACTGTACTGGCATTACTAAAAATTTATGTCAAACACGAAATTAGGCGTATAAAAACATTACACACAGAAGAAAAAACACAATATCCTGATGCTATTGGATAGGTCGCAGTGACAAGAATGCGCGGCCTAAACTCGTTTTAATCAAGGTATTATCCCACAAGAAAATTAGGACGGACAAAAAAGTTCATGTTGCCGAAGAATCAAATGGACCCAGGCAGCAATTCCCTCAACTTTTCTCGAGTTACTCCAAATTTAAATACAGCGAAACCCCCCGACATGAGGACACCTTGACCTGCGGACAAATTCGACATACAGACACTTATTTTCCCATTAAAAATAATAAAAAGGCCCGACATGAGGACACTGACTCGACATGGAGACATTTTGTGATAAAATAGCAAATACATGTCAGGCCAAATTACAAGGAACAGTTATTTCCAACCCTAAAATTGAGGCAAGAAAAGTTCTTGGGCATTTCTCTCACCAATTTACCATAAATTCAGCAGATTAAAAAAATTACCTCCAGCATGAAGGGACTTCTTTCTCTCTTTTTCACTTGAATGTTATTTTTCCAGAGAATGCAAACATTTCTATGTACTGTACAGAGATATCAGTATTCAATTCCCCGTTTTCTCTTCCTGTTGAAAACCAATTGTAAAATGAAGTCCAGAATGAGGTATCTTTGAGACCCCGAGATGCGGACGTAATTGGTTCGTCAAGAGTGTCCCTAAGTCGAGTCTAATTTTCCCCTGGACTTGCATTATACAGTATAATTTTTAATCGGTGTTTTATGGATATATTGTGTTGAAATATATTGATTGAATCAGTTTAAATTGGGAGACAATTTTTATTTTCATGGAATTATGGTGAGTATTTTGTCCATAAAACACCGATTAAAAATTATACTGTATAATGCAAGTCCAGGGGAAAATTAGACTCGACTTAGGGACACTCTTGACGCACCAATTACGTCCGCATCTCGGGGTCTCAAAGATACCTCATTCTGGACTTCATTTTACAATTGGTTTTCAACAGGAAGAGAAAACGGGGAACCTGAAGCCTCTCAACAATATTTATGAAAGTTGCAACAGCAGCAGCAGGAGTTAACACGATTCTTCCCACATCGCCGGTGCTGAAGGCGGGACTCGTTTCGGCAGTCCGACCTCGGGTGCGGTCCAGCGAGGTCGCTCGGAAATAATAAACAAAAGTACGGGTCAGCAAATCAAATACAATGAAGTAGTGCCTCAAAAACACTGAATTACAAGGCGTGAATGGTTCGTTTATTTCGGGCGTTTTCTGCAGGCGACATTGTTTCCATATAGAAAAAAATAAAATGAAGTGCACTTCCGATGGAAAAACTCTTCGTTCTTCGCGAATGCAACTTTGACACAGTGCTTAGACAGATGTTGCTTTTTTTTTTTAAAGTCCGTCGTTAGAAAAGCTCAATATTTTGCAACAGATTTTCAGGCGCGCTTCTATCATTCATTGGACATAAGGTCTTTGTGCAAATGAAGTGTAAGGTGACTCGAATTGAAAGCATTTCCTAAAACAATTTTGCATTCTCAATCTTATCATACCAAGAAAAACATGATAAGTTTCCAGCCTTTTGTGCTGATTTCATCAGAGGAACAGCAGTCAATTCCAACTACGGTAACTGGGAATGGTGGCAAAATAAATTTGTCAATTCCGGTCATCTTGAAGAGAACAGGTGAATATGTTACAACCAATTTCGAAGACCGGTTTCTCAATAGAACGACATTTCTTTACTGTGAAAGCAATATTCTGAGGGCTGGAGGATTTCAATGACTTTTCTCAAAGTAAAAGCATCACGAGTCCTCTATTATTTACATTCATTTTTACACGAGACACGGTGAACTTACCAGGAATTATGAAGCTATCTATTTTCGCCCTGGCTGAAAATTAGGGCTAGATTTTTTACGGTATTTTAAGATGAAAAAGAGTTGAGTTTGATTGTGATCGTAAACACAACCGCGACAGGGATAAATAAATATGTGTATATATCCATATATTGAAGTACAGTACAGTATATATAAATTGTTATGATTTATTGATCGATCAACACGCTTTATTTTCCGCTTTTCAGCGTTCACAAGGTTCAAGCAATGTTCTCACATCCAAACCCTCTCCTTCCCCACCCATATTCATCTAAACACAGTCCATCACACGGGGATGGAAAATTAAGAAATAAGCTGTATGTGAATATTGGAAGAAAAGAATATGCATCCCAAAAAGTAAAATTGCACAACTGTTGTGAATGCATACACTTCCTTCCCCTCCTGATTAAAAAGAAAATATTAGTAAAAAAAATTAATTATAAGGCAATTACTGAACACACATGAAAGCAAAAGGTATTCAGCTTGCTTCCAAATAAGTTTGAGTTGATTAAACAATTTTGGAGAGAATCTGAAGAGGAGAAATCGTATAAAAGTTAACCGTTTATCTGGGAACTCTAAATTTTTGAAAGAGTCTTCTCATTGAATTTTAACGAGTCTCAAATAATAATGAATTGCCAAGGGGATGATTTGTGTACAGGTTTTTGTGTCCCTGCAATCTTGAAACAGGAATATTGAAACGAAATCAAGTGGAATTTCGGCGAGTGGAAAGTAAAAACAAAGCGGGCGTCGCCGTCATGGACACCTTCAAGACGGTAAGTTGAGACTATGTAACTGTAAGAATTTTTTATTTAATAAATCTTTATTTATTTTGAACCACTCGCAGCATATCGAATTCTGTAATTAAATACTGCAGATTTATTCAAAAGCAGTTGAAAAATGAGGAACTCGTGATCGTTTCACAGCCAAGTGCAGAAGTTTTTGCCCTAAAAAAAACAAAAATAAAAAATCCTGATGCTCCGTCGTCGTTTCCTAGCAGGATTTCTAGGTTGAAAAATCATGAGTTTCACGTTCAGAAATCCTTAAAAAAATGTTGATGCCTCCAAGCTTTCATGTTAAATGTTTTCATTCAACAATTGAAGAAGTTTCAGCTTGGAAAATGTGGAAATCCAACGACGCTTTCTTCACTCGATTCAGCCTACAGGGTGGACTTGAAGAAAACAGATCAATTATCTAACTGTCGCGTCTTTTAGATAGTTCGAGTGATTTTGTAAGAAAGTTTATATTGAGTCAAATTACAGTATCTTTCAAACGACCTCGAAGTGTCTGCTCGCATTGCTGTGACTTACAAAGGATCATATAGAAAGAAAAAAATGAGGTTACCACAAGGATTTTCATGTTTCTGCGCGTCTTCAAGAAACTACCAAGCAGCCAGTGAAATTTTCGTTTTTCACATTTTCAAAGTGAAATTTCAAAATTATCAATTAAGTTTTTAAAAATTTATAATTGAGATTTTTTGAAGTTCGGAAATTTCAAGAGAGAATAGCTCAAATGTTATAAAATTTTTCGGTTCAACCTGCTGGAGAAAAAGAAAAAAAAACATTCGACTTACAGAAAAAAAAAACTTTCAAAATTCAAAATAAAATTCAAGATTATGAAGCTGATGGGAATGTTATCCTAGTTGTGAGCGCATTCAAATGAATATCAGTCAGCAAGTCGGAGAAAATATTTATAAAAAATTCGAAGTGATACTGAATGTCAACAACATTATTTTTCATGCCGATTTTTTCGGTCTACTCCATGTAAGCAACAAGGTAAGCATCAACATTTTCACAACCATTATTCTAACTAAAAAAAAAAAAACAGGATATTGGACCTTATGCAAGAAGTGTCCTAGTTTTTCAAGCCTTCAAAAGATCTTCAAGTTCCAGTCAAAAACCCCATTTAGAAAAATTTTGAATAATTTTCAATACCGTCGGTAACATTTTTGAAAGACAATACATTCGTTCACGGGAGCTTAACTTTTAATGGAACACACGGAACAGCTTTAAAAAATTATCCTTCTTCGTTCCAAATTTTACGGAGAAAACAAACTTACATTTGTAGAAAAATTACGCGCTCTTCGGATAATTGAAAAAAAAAATCGTACGTTCATGGACGCATGTGACTGCAAGGGATCGCAATTTATTTTTTTTTCAAGTCGTCAAAAAAGTGACTCGATTCCGAATTTTTTTTTTAAACAAACAGGTTATTCTGCTCGCCGTTTTTCTCACGATCCCGCAAACCTTGCTGGCATTTCCATTGGATGCCCCTGAACTCGCCGATACCATTTTTCGCGGCGACTTCTCCGAGCAGAGCAAACAGCAGAATTTACCTTCGCCGAGATTCCGGCCTCGATTTTTCGACACAGAACAGTGAGTTCGTGAAAAATCCAATAATTTCTGCGCACGATAATTATTTTTCCGACTCGGGGAATGTCTTGCTCTACTTTCTGGGCGGGGGCAACAAATCATCCATAAGCACTCAATCGAAAAATTGCGCAACCCTTCGGAATTTTTTTTTATCGTGGAGATATATTTTTTTCACACTGCGTAACTTGACACACGAATGAGCATTTCAGGGGACATTTAATTGGGAAACAAAACGATTCAACATTCTTCAAAAGCATCTAAATTTTTAAAAATAGTAAAAAATCTTTTTTCACCTGATTTTTATTTTTATTTTTTGCAGCGGACTTCCCATAAATAAGCAGGATGTCTCAATCAAGTAAAAGACCTGAAGAATATACCGTGCATTAAATAAATCAGTCGTGGAAATATTCCTAACATTCACGGAAGTTTAAATACTGTAATCATATTAATCAACGAATTTGTTTCCACTGCATTTTCAGGGACGGAAAAAGCGATTAAATTCAAGTTCAGCTTTGAAATTATCACAGGACCGCTTCCATTTTCTATGCATAATCTTGACAAAACATGGCAAAAGGAAACAGGAACTCAAGTCAAGACGTTTCTTAAAATCGAAGAATAGTATTGCCAAATTTCAAAATGTTTTCGTCGAGAATGTGCAGGCGAATCAATTTCGCGAAGTCGCTCTTTAATAACTCAAGAACTAATCAAACTTTTTCAAACTTAAAAAAAAAATACAACAGAGTTGACTCGACCGTGATTGACCCACCCCGGACCAAAGTTGAACGAGAAGCTGTGCTTTTCGCCAACAACAACGACGAAGAAAGCAGGAATAAGAAATTCGGCAAATTCATGTCCCCCTTGACGCTGCTTTCGCGCAGACCAGATTTCGCAGCAAAGGGACAAAAAAACAGCGATAAAACAATCAAGCAATTGGTTGACGACGCAGATTCTGCCGCTTCCTCACCATTGGTAAGCAAAACTTCAATTGAAATACAGTATTGTAATTTTCGGATCACGATAAAAACAAAGAAACAAAAAAACAATATTTTTTTACATTCACGCGCCGAAAACTCAGTTCAATTCATGGAAATACTTTAGCGAGAATTTCAACTATATTCACGTGACAACAATGCAGCTATGGGAGAAAAAGCGTCGAAAAATTCTCCAAGAGTTTTCAATTCATTCAAACATTTTTATAATAAACTCAACGAAGTCAAATAAATAAATCATGAGAAACTGAATCGAGAAACTTGGAAATGAAAAATCCCATGGAAAGCACTGAGAATTACGTTTCAAGGATAAAAGTGGAAGGGTTCCCAACCATATATATTTGAAAATATACAATTTGCAAATTTGCATTGGGAGCAAATGATAAACAAAGCAATAAACCAACTGAAGAAATATCCTTTCTTCAATTGACACAAATTTTAATTAGAACTAAGAATTTTTAGATTCGTACAAAATCACCTCATGGTTCCAAGTGAATCAGAATTTCACTCAAGTTCGTAAATAACAAATTATTTCACTCACCATCTCCAATGCTTGCAAAATCCTTCAAATTTTAGCGATTCGATTTCGTCTCAACCGTGTGAAGTTTGAAAAAAAGCACTTCGTCACCAATTATTTGAAAGGTTTTAATATTGAAGAATTTCTTGATCAGGCTCATCTGGCTTCAAAATGTAACATGTTAATTTACAACATTTCTCCAAAAAAAACGATGCGTCAAAAAAACGGAATACGGTTTCGGAGAAATCTCGGAATAACTCTAGTGCTGTACAATATAGAGAAATTGCATCACAATATAGGCTTTGAATTTACACAAAAAAGAAAATGATGAAATACTGCATTGTACGCGAACTTCCTCTCTCCTCTCGTTTTCCAAACAAAAGGAATCCCAAAAGCTCAACGCAAGAGCTCAATTCACCCCGATCCGGCTACGGACAAAACCCCTGAGACCCGCAACAGGAATTTCAACAGAACCCGAAGAACCTGCACCCGTAGAAAAGCCGCGAAGGACCCAATTAAAGCGAGGAAAATCCGTGGTGGAATCAACAACATCAACAACAACTGCAGCACAACCAGGCGTTGCTCAAAAAGACCCAAAAAACGAAACCCGTCGTCGCGGGAACCCGTTGAGGTCAAGAATCGCTGGCACAAGAGGGAATCCCGGAGCTAACAAGGATTCAAAAAGCCAAAATAATAATAATAATAATGACGGCAACAGCGACGAAAGCTCAGTCAATATCCACGTCGAAAAAGCACCCCGTGAAGATGAAAGGTTCGAAAAAAGTACTTTACAGTACTATACCGAATCTGCTTTAAAAAAAAAACACGAACGAATCCGCATTTTTCCCCATCGCTTTCCAAGTAAATGAAAAAATTTTAAATTTTCTCGCAAAACAGGCATTTCCAAAAAGTGTCGGCGTCGAGAAAAAAAAATCGTAGCTATGACAACGCATTTAGACAAACTGATGAATGTATATTAAAAGGGTTGATCAGGTTCCAGATTTAATTTTTTTGAAACAAAAAATTTTCTAGCATGATCCAGCGTAAACTGCTGATTATATTTCTAAAACTTCCTGATGAACTTTAGCAGTCAAGTACTGTACTGCAATTTCCCAGGCGTTTCACCCATGATAAAAGTACTGCGTCGAATTTCTCCATTGCGAAAATCTCAAAATCTTGGACGTCTTGCTTGAAAGAGCATCAGTAAGGTTCAGAAATCGCGGAATTTTTGCAATCATCAACGTTTATTCAACTTCTAAAAATGTCATCGGTGATCGAATCTCGAACTGATCAGCGGGTTTAATTGATTCACTTTTTTTTTCCTCCCGTCGCCGTTCATGAAACTTCGATTATGATTTCTCTATCTCTTTTTTTTTTTTTTTTTGCAGTGCCAAGAAAGACGAAGCCGACCATGACTCGCAGTTTGGCGAAAAGGTTCGCGGATGAAGACATTCGTGCAAATGACTCAATGCACACAAAGTACACCATTTCTTTTGCTGTTGCGAAATGCAAATTACCAGAGTTCGCCTCGTTACCCTCCAAAAACCTTTCCATATTCGGTTTTTTTGAAAAAAAAAAAGAGGGGAGCAACCTTTGCAAAAAGGAGAACATTTCTGAGTCATTTCCTGATCGTTCGGAATAGAAAGCATTAACCCATTATTTACCAACGAGAGCGGAAAGCACTTTTGCTCACGAGGTTTCGTCAGATACTGTATAAAATAACGCAGAGTACCTTTGATCACTGGCCTGAAACGCCAACAACACATAACAGGAACTTTAGTAAACATTGTATCATAAAATGGTGAATGGGACACGACTTGGACTTGGGAAATTGAAGCAATTTTGGACCTTCTCACAATTAAGCTTGATCAAAGTCTTTCATGTTTATTAATCGTGTTTTACAAAATATGTTTTATTTAGCATAAAAACGCGCTTTAGACAATTTCCAAGCATCTCTTGCAACAGAAACCCCATCAAAACACTGTACGTGAATGCAGTCAAACCCGAATTTAGTGTCATCGTTGTCCTGGTACATTTTGTGGCACTAAATCGAGGATATCGTATCAAAATAAATTCATTTGAGGACGTATACAATAGGTAAAACAGGCGCGCTGAGCAGAATTTTTTGCAGAATCGCTTGGCAATTAATCGAGGGTTGAATGTACAGTACTGCCAAAATGTCAATTTTTTTTACTTTGAGTTACTGGGAAACGTTGCAGTAAGAATCTGAGGCACAACAAATTAACCAAAATACGCTTACACTTAGCTTCTCTGTATTCATACTTGAAAATTTTAAAACTTTGAAATCACGCAAATTTTCTTACATACAAGAGAATAATTCAACTTGAATACTGAATCTTGACTAGACTTTTGGCAGGAAAAAATCATGTTATTTTGTTCATGCTTAAGAGTTTAAGACAGGTAATTCGAGGATTTACTGATTATCTAACTTCAAACTTTTTAGCAACGCAGACAATCAAATGAGACCATTTTTAGAATTATGAGAAAATTTTCTTTTTCAAGATGCAATTTTTTTTGCGCCTTCAGGAATGAAAATAAATTCACCCGCAAATAAAAGACGCCCTTCCGATCATATTCGTCAGAAATGTCTCTCCTCAATCAGAAGACTTTGTTCATTCTACTGTACTTAGGTCATGATCATAAACGACCATATTTACAGCAATTAAATTACGGATCCAAGATTCCACTGAACATCTGACACACCCCGATCATTTCGGAACAATTTTTGGCGAAAAGTTACTCTTTCATCCGATTGTATACGGTCGTATACTTTTTTCAATTTTCTATCCACCCCATGTCACAGGCGAAAGCCGTTCAAAACCGTACAATGCATTTAAAATATCCCCACACATACACACACAAAAAACATGCATAAAAATGTAAAACTAACTTGGCAGAGTCACTGACGACCACAGGAGGCAGCTGATGAGGATCACCGACCAAAACGAATTTTTCAGCGAAGAATAGCGGGCCAATTGCAGCAAGTTGAGGGGCTTGCGCTGCTTCGTCTATGATGCAAACGTCAAATTTCCTGCCTCTGGCAAACATTGGATGAGCCAAGCTGAGACACGTTGTCGCAACGACGGTCTAACAAAATATTTAAAAACAAAAAAGAGAGATCACATGAACAAGAGGAGATGGATATAATTTTTCTGGACATCAAAACTGACTTGGTCTCTTCAGAACCGATAAAGCTCAGAACCGATAAGATCTGAATTGAACACCGGGTACTTTTATTGTCTATATAGGCAATCAAAAATCATGAACACTCAGATGTACGGCAGAACTATGATTCAAAGAGAGAATCACTTTCACTTTCTTCTTTTCTCTAAATGAAGAAAGGCAACAGTTTTCTTCCTTTAGAATAAAAAAAAAAAACTATTGCTTTTCTTTTTTTAATTACAGGTTTTGAGAAATTTTTCCTATGTTGAATTTTTTTTTTAACCAGTCTTTGAAGTTTCGAGACTCAATTCAGACTGGGTCAAAAACAAAATTTGACACAGGACAAATTTAGACTCAAGAAAATTCCAGTTATCGAGTTCCAGAATGTGATATAAAAAGAAATGAGAAAAAGCTTCAGATTTTTTTTTTAGAGAGACAAACCTTAGATGCATACAGGGCTTCCAAGTCGGCCACAGTCCTGACGTCGCGCGTCAGGACGTCGTCACTAACTTCCATCACGTCATCTCGGACCCGCGACGCGTTGCCCAACCGCACCACATTCCGGGCACCGAATTCCTCGCCGTGTTCGCGCAACAACTTGCACAACACATTGTCAATCGCGGAATGCGTGTAGCTCACCAACAACACGGTTTTGTTCATGCGAGCCGCGAGTGTGCGAAGCAGGGCCACGACGAGTCGCGTTTTCCCACTGCCAGGGACACCTCTGACCAGGGCGTACTTTTGACTCATCAACACGTGGATGACGGCCCTTTGCTGACGCTCGTTCAGCTCCTTGATGACGTCTTTGGCCGACAGGCATTTGGACAAGGAATACTTCTTCACCTTCGGGAGAACTTCCCTGTGGGAAAAATTAGAAACTTAGGATATCAGGAAATCAACGATTGAAAATATAGTGTACGAGGGTTTTCAATTCCATCAGGAATCGTCATTAGTGGCAGAAATACAAAAAGAATTACAAGTAGATTCAAAATTCATCCATCCAAAAAATTGAGTACGTAACTTTCCTAGTGAGTAGATATCTCAATTTCGAAATATCTAAACAGTTAGAAACCAAGAAAATGTTGTAAATTTGACTCATGGTCCGCTTGCGGTTCTTCATTTTACTCAACAATTAACACGGCAAATGCGGAATACAAAATAACCGGAAATCAGCGATTCGAAATACGAGGGTTTTCAATTTCATTCACAAATCGTCATTAGCGACAGAAAGAGGAAAAAACACGCGGATTCGAAAATAATTTATTCCAAAAATTTGAGTGTATGACTTCCTCTCTGAGCAAATACATCAATTTTTCGGCAATAATTTCAAGACTGACAGAAAACATTCACAAAATTGACACATTGCCCACTTCCGATCCAAAAATTTTGCCGATATTCCAAGGAAAAATTAAGGACAAGAAATCAGAGCTTTTCAATGCTAGGAATTTCAATTCACCCATGAGTTGTCCTTTCTAAAAAAAAGGAAAAAACACGGATTCGAAAATTATTCACCGAAAAAGAACTGCGTAACTTCCTTTCAGGGCAAATGCCTCAATTTTTTCGATAGTTCAAAAAGCGAGAAACCAAAAAAAAAAAAAGTGACAAAGTTGACAGATCGGAAATACAGCTTCCGAACTTAATAATCTTCCCCATCAATTTGCACAAACTTAATTTCTCCTCCCAATCTACGCGTCACGAGTTTCAAGTGTTTTCATGAATGAATGAACAGAAAACTTTATTTGCCGTGTTTTCATAGATCAAAGGTATATGAATTTCTTGTTCATTGATTTTCTTTAGCAAGCAAAGAAATTATGAATTTCTTGTTCATTGATTTTCTTTAGCAAGCAAAGAAATTTATACAAGGATACGAACCTGTCAATGATGACTCGACGAAGCTCTTCACAACTCGTGGAATCATCCATCAACTGCAACAAATAGCCTCTGCAAATGGCTGTCGAGAAATCCATAGAATTTCCCGTTTTATCAATCCTGAATTCCTTGGTTAGGTTTCCATTGAAATTTCCCGTCAAATCTCTAAAAGAAGAACAAAACGTCAGGACAAAAATTTTAAAAACTGCGCCTGCAAAAAGCTAGAACATAAAGCTTTTTTACGAAGATACACGTATAAAAAGTTAGATCACAACTCGGTTCCATCAGCAGACGCTTCGAAAATTTTTTCTTCTGTAATATAAACTTTACAAAATTTATTTGCAATGGAATATTACAAAAAGTACCCAAAATGCAAAAAAATTTCCGAATGCAATTTTGTACTTTATTTTTGCTTCCGATCACGCGGGCAATTTTTTCATCTCTTTAAAGTCGATCAAATCAATTGAGATTTATAATAACTGAATTTTAATTGGAATACAATTTAAAAAACAGTACTTAATCTGTAATTGGACCTTACACCTCGTTTGTATGCACAGTATCGTACTCTTTTCCGATTCAGGGATCGGATTCGAACACAGAAATACAACATCCTCTTCATGCTCCTGCACGCAATATTTTGCCTTCGCAATTAAGAAGTAGGATCACGTACGTCACTTACGCAATAATAAAATTACCGTAAGTACGGGATATATTCTGAACCATACATTATATCACGCACCGATCGAGTCCGAGAACGATGGAATCCGTGTCTAACTTGACAACATAGCCGGCGGCCAGAGCCAGAAATACGCCATCGGAGGAACTGACAATGACGTAATCGTCGACATTCAGGCCAACACCGATTTTCGTTCCGGTTCGTTTGACGAACTTGTGAAGAATTCGTCTGGCGGACTGGAATTCGGCTTTTTCTCCGGACCTCAGCACCATGTCCGACAGGCCGTCACCTTTCTTTTCCCTATAAAATCGAAACAAGCAAGCATTTGACAAAAAGAAAAGAACCCAAGGAATTCTCGGAAAATTAAAAAGGAATAGCACAACGAAATTTCTCCGCAGTTTCGATTGCTAAGGATTGAATTAGAATTAGTTCTGCAATTTCGTTGCATGATTTCTGTCTTATAAACACTTTCTTAGAATGCAAAATCGGATGTATTCACCCGAAACTAACAAAAAGTGGACAAGGTCTAAATATATCAGTTTCATTTGATTCAAGTGACGTATCGAAAGCCCACTTACGTATCAGTTCAAATGCAATCTGACACACGAAAAAATCCATCAGGGCATCATATAAAATTTGTTTGCATTTTCCGACGATTCTTGCGATTTCTTTGCACATTGGAAAAAACTGAAGATCGGAAATTTACTCTTGCTTTCAAATGACAAGAAAATGTGTTTTTTTACTTTTAATTTGATGTGAAGAAAATAATCGTTGAAAAAAGGTTGAAAATTCCACAAGATGTAGAAAAGACTATGATTGAAAAAACAAATAATAATTTTCAATTTTGTAGGTGGACTACAGACATATTTCTAGCCCCTGTAACATGGGTGGATAACTTATAATCGTGCGAAGTATGAAAACATTTTCTTAAAAATCTGAAAAAAAATCCCAGAACCTTAAAACATTTCGGGCTCGAGAAATTTCATATACAGCCATAATCATACTCTGGAAATACAGTCAATTAACTCCAGGGCAACTCAAAGTGGGACAACCCCCATATACACTCAACAAGTGGGTTTCATGATACATTGATTAAATAATAAATCACCTGTCTTCGGCAGACATGGTCCAAATATCATTATTATTGGTCGAATAATCGTCTCGGGTTCGCTGCTTCACCGCGTCTTGGCTTTCCAGACTCATCAAAAGAGTCCACTTTTTATAATAAGCCAACTGGGACGCACTCAGGTGTCCAACAGCAGCTGGCACCAAAACAGACATCGGATGATCTTCAGGATATTCAGTCTTCTCAACCACTCTGGAATACCGGAACATTTTTTCATCGGCAAGTTTTGAAAATTTCTAATAATATTAAGCAATAACTTGAGAAAAAAATTGGAGATTTTTTCAATAAATAATTTAAATTCCAAAAATTAAATTTCTAAAGATTATCTACCATTACATATAATTTCAATTCTAATAATTTCTTATGATTATTATTTTTAATGAATAATTTTCTGCTTAGAATGCTTACAAAAATAAGTATTGTTAAAAAAATGATGATGCTCAGGTATGGATTTTTTATAAAACAGCAATACATTTTTGAAATAAAAAATTTAACTTTGTAAAAATGAGAAAATGGAAATGCAATAAAAAGAAGCTAACTTTTGGTAAGCGGCACACGCGACAAGATAGGGACACTTTTCGCAAGCCTTCCGATGCGAAATCACTTCCGGTAACACAGGCAACTGAAATCCCTCTTCTTCCTCGTCACACTTGACAACCTTCCGCGAATAAATTTTCGCCATTTCGTTTCTCCGCATTACGAGGTCCCTTCGTTCGCTCGTCCGGGATTTTATCGTTGCTGTGGATCCGTCTCGAAGGTAGACCAAAAGCCCACCGAAATCCGAGTCCACGGGTTCACGGGATTTCCTACGGTCGTCCATCATCATCGAGTAAAGGACAACTTGTCCCATGTGCTCCGGGGAATAACTCGGCTTTCCGGTTTTCAATTCCAAAGGAAGGACCTGATGAAGTCATCACGAAATAAAAAAAAGCGCCAATCAGATATATTCGGAAAAATTATAAGAGGCTCAAAAGCGCTGCCGACAAATGAACACCGGACTTGATACAATTATTTTACAGTCCTGTAGTAACTTGAGGAAAATTGGAGATTTGTTTTCAATAAATAATTTAGAATTCCAAAAATTAAGATGAAGTCATCACGAAAAAAAAAACGCCGATCAGATATATTCGAAAGTTATAAGAGGCTCAAAAGCGCTGCAGACAAATGAACACCGGACTCGATACAATTATTTTACAGTACTGTAGTATTGCATATACTCGAGTACCAATCACCCTCAAGTAAAACAAGCACCTTTATTTTTTTCGCTCAATAATTTTGGGGAAAATGCCGTTCCCGCATAAGATGAGCGCTTTGGGTTTTCAGTTACCAATTTTGTTTTTCAACGACATGGGGTAAAAATCTGAATACTGTACAAATCAAGCCCAAGTTGAAGCTGAGTTCAATTTTGCTTTAGTCTCGTACAAATGTTACAATTGTTTACGACTAGAGCTTCGAAAAGATGCTCACATGGGAAACAATGTCAAAATTTCAAAAAATTATCACTAGAAAATTAATAAATTACAGTACAAAGACGCCCACCCCATTTTTTGCCACGGTTTCTTAGAAAAAAGGTGCGATTAGCACTTTATGAGTAAATAAGGTATTTGAGAGATAGATAACTGAATGTCAATCTTTTTCAGCAAGCCGTTTAATTCATTTTCGATGCTACATTTTCGTTCAACGACTTTCAAAGGGGAGAAAAATTCAAAGAGAAAACTCACATCTTCAATAGAAGCACCAACGGATCGAACTCGCACGCTTAAATCAATCTTCCCTTTGAGCCCGAACCGTGGCGACCAAATATTCTCTTCAATATCGACAACTTCCGTCACTTTTCCTCGCCATTGCGGAAGCAATGGCTTCTTAGGCTCAATAAAACCGGAAGTCACGTAATTTCCGGTCAATACTGCGCCGTAGTAACGACGCAGCCAGTCAACAATTGCTGGCAGAATTCGCATGATCTCTTCAGACAATTCCTTCTCGCTTTTGTCCATGGCGTATAAAGTTAGAAGAGTTGAAGGTTCCATGAGCTCAGCTTGCACGAGATCTTTCAAAAATCGTTCATCTATTGAACCGGCTTTCACTGTCTGGAAATTCAAAACGAAATTTTGTTTTTCATTTTCACACAATGTTCAGACGCTAAAAACAAAGAAAAAACGAGTCCATTTTGTCACTGTGCAGTGAAGAAGTCATGATATACACACTCACACACTTGCTTTTCAATTGTCCTCTGTAAATTGCAAGTTATTTAAATGTGGGTAGATGTCACTGCCAGTCATACGGATATACAGTGACAGCATCTTTCATTTTAAACAGAGCCCTATATCAAAATACATCTACTTCTCGGTTATTCCTGAATGCCTACAGCAGCTTACAAAAGTCAATTTGGATGTGAATTAAATTCTACAACGCAATAAAAACTGATTTAAATGTAGTTCAACAGCTTATAAATTCTCAGAAAATTTGACTTCTCAGTTGCCTGCAAAGAAACTCAGTCCAAAATAAAACTCACTCGTTGGAAAATGGAATGCAGAATAGTTCCCACGAGCATTTCTTTGTTTCCAGGATCACAACCACGGATGCTTTGAGCTAAAACGGCTTTTCGTCGACAAAACAAACCAGATACGACGGAAGTTCCAGAGATCAAAAAATCCGGATTAACCACAAGTAATCCAGCGGAATTGTCAATTTTCAGCGGAAATCCACTCGTTGCAAAAGCGTTCACAGTATCCCCAACTACAACTTCGGTACGAATCCTACATAAAATTTCAAAGAACAATATGCTTGATGAAATTAAATTTCACGGGAAAGTATAGTGGCTCACCATAATCCAGACAAAATGCATTCGACGGATTCCCCAGTCAAAAAGGATTTCAGAGTCAAAACTTTGCTACCGTTGCTTTCAATTATGTTTTCCACAGTGTATCGAAAATAAACATTCGGCAGATTTTGAGCAGTTTTCATCTCGGTTTCTCTGAGAAATAAAATAGAAGAAAAAATTAGACAATATTTACCCAAGTAGGCAAGGAATTTATTGTATTAACTCACGTTACCGGCGCGTCTGGAATTGCTGGAGCTTCAATTTTTGAAAAATCACAATTTCTTTTGATAGTCTCCTTTGGCAACGGTTGACTTTTCACAGCAAGCGATTGGACAAGTCTGTCAAATAAGAAGGGGTCATCTTACGTCAATCGTGATCATCCATTTGAAAATACCATTGACTTATAAGTTTAAGCTTTTGTGACATCTTCAAAAAAAAATGACGAGAAAACCAAAACTTACTCAGGATTGAAATCGAGGGATCTGGAAGGTTTCGGAACGAAGTTTTCTTCAAAGCTGAAATCGAAGCTCTCCATCAAGGCCTTTTCAAGTTCATCCGAAAATGTGACAATCGGCGATTTTCCACCTTCTGATTCTGATTTTACTTTTTTGGTCAAAGGTGAAACAGCGACTTGATTATCCAAGGGTTTCCTGGGACTCGGACTCGGGTTCGCTTTTCGCTTCGCCAATGTCGCCATTCCCGAAGCTGCTGAAGATTTCTCCACTTTGAACTTGTTTCGAATTTGTTTCTTCTGCTGTCGAATTTCTGGCGTTTTTTGAACGATTTCTGGCGATGGTTCCGGCAGGGATGGATTGCATTTCATGGCGAAAACTTTTTCGGGAGTTCGGTTTTCAGGAACCACGGGGAAATTTTCAACTTGAGTAGGCATTTTCGATGTTGAGGCGGTGGCGAAAAATTTGAGAATTGAGGATTGGCCTTTGATGCCATCTTGTTTGACTGCTTTCTTGGGCTAAAATTGGCCAGAGACGAAAGAATTCCAATAAATCACGAATAAGTTGGACAACACAACAGTTACAAGACACTTCACAAAAATAAAAAATCTTTCATTCGTGATTTTTTTTCATAATATATTAAATAAAATAAAAGGGCAGCATTTTTCGTCAACATAAATGACTTTCGTTCACCTGAAAAGTTCTACGACGCGTCAGCACAAATCAATTATGTGCTCGGATAAAACCTGCTATGGTGATCCGATTTTCAACAATTACTTTTCGATTTTTAAGAAAATATTGCATCGGAACAACAACAAAAAACGAGCCGGATACGATAGGTATTTAAAATTATTCGACAAACCCCCGGAGTTTAACTGCTGTTCCGAGCAGAAGGAAACAGTTGTAAAAAATTTAAAGGTTCTGTTTTTTGTTTGGCCATACATTTACATTTTTAAAATTGTAACGAATAATTTACAATTTATGACATCCTCCAGCAATAGGAAACATTTTTTACATAATGATGCCAAACTCTTTTCATGACCGACAGACCACATATAAGAATAGAAGAAAGCTAATACTGTACAAGCTTTCTGTGCAAGGAAATTTTCCTGCATTTAAATCAGTTAGGGAATTTATTGATTTTAATGATCAGCTGGGCAAAATGGAGAAGAATTGCTTCGTGAATCATGGGCTGAAAATGAATATTCATTTTAATGCTCACGGGTCATCTCACTGAAATGATGGTGTTTCAGGTTATTCGCGAGTTTTCTGAAAAATCAGTCAAGCATTGAAAATAAAAATGTATTTTCATCCTCACCGATTTCTTTCCCACTCTCACTGGGGCCATTGAAAAATCGACCAAAGCTCCGGGGTCTTCAATATCCAACAAATTCAAAAACCGGTTCGCGCATTTCCCGAAATCAACACCAAACGCACTTTTCCTTTTGTTCCTGAACCTGAAAAAAATAAAAGTTTCAGATTTTCACCCTGCGACGTTCGTAACATCGAACATTTCATGACACTATCTTAACCGTACAGCGAACCAGAAGAGGGTTATACCGTTCATACATCGGATATTTCGTAAACGTTGAAAAACTACAGCAGATGAAACTGAGAAAAAAACTTTCCTCCGGTTCCTCGACAGGAAGAACCTGCATTAAAACCAATCAACAACTGATTTACATTAGATATTTGTTCTGATCAGTCACTGGCTCAACCATCTTCCATGCAGAAAAAAAAAAAAAAAAAAACTAGCTTGCCGAAGCCTCAACCACACGATATCCCCTTTTCCCATTTTAGGTTAAACGTTAAGTTTACCGTTGATATCCCTGATAGCCATTTAAAAATTATCGGTGATTATCGCCTTAATCGACGTCTTACTTATTCCCACGTAGTCAAACCCCGCTTTTCATCATCATCATCAAGACAGAAAACTTTCTTTTTGTACGACCTACGATTCGGATACGAGGAGGCATTTCATGCACTCGGAACAGTTACAAAAGCGGGCATTACAAATTATTTAAAATAAAAATGGAACCAAATATGGGAAAAATTATTCAATGATGGGGGAAGAGGTGAGCATATGGAAGGAATGAATTATTTGATGAGGCAATGGCTTCACAAAGAAGAGGCAGAACCGCGGCGAGGCCCGCTTGGTTGTCTGAAATGGACCCTCACAGAACGATTGACAATCGGCAATTGACGAAGAAGGAATTGCTCATGAAGATTGGCTTCAATCGCCAACTTCCTGCTGCTTTCATGAGGTAGATTTGATTGGATGCGTCCCACACGACTTCCCTGAAAAAAGGTCACCCTGTAAAAAAAATATTACTGCAAAAAATTCAAAATTAACAAGGAAGTTATTTTCTTTTAGAACTATCACGAAAAATATGTTTCATGAAATTCAAAATAAGCACACGACTTTGCTGACTATTCTTGCATACATCCTAATTTCAACAATACAAATATAATCTCTAATATAATAACGATTTTCTTTGCATATTCAATTTTTTTTTCAATTCTGTTGGTCCCACAGGGTTTTCAACCAATCTTATGGGGATTCTCTAGGACGGAATTATTCACAACGAATTTTTTTCCGGTTCCCTGAATTTCGTTGTAGAGAATTGTCCACCAGTAAAAAATCCACCATGAATCACAATAGTAGCCTAATTTTCTTTCTCTGAAAATTCTAGGAAATTGTTCAAGTCCATCCATTCTATCATCTTTTCCCCGGTCATTCGGAAAAAAGATTCAGATTTATAGTTTTTGCTTTCAAAAACTGAAACTGGCAGCAAGGATTTATTCAGTAAATCTTCGACAAGATTCCCGTTCTACAGATGGCGTTCGATAAAAAAGTAATTCTGTCTTTGATTTTCGTTCTAACGTCAATTTCGCGATTTTATAAAGGCATTGCGATCAAACACGTTTTGAGCCCGTGTGTGCTACGAACATTGAATTACGGTAGTCAAATCAATCGAATAACCTTGAAATAATTAATACACGGGGGATTATAATTTTAAAAAAGCCCATGATTAGTAAAAGTTTCATTTTACGCTTGCGCAGACGAGATGCCCTCGCAAAGCTGGCTGTCGAAACATCACCCTCGACATCTTCCGTGTCTGACAGCACAGGGTCGGAATGCAAACCCGATTCAAAGAACCCGAAAGAAACAGCAACACACGCGATTAAACCCATACATCGGCCAGACGCGGGCAAAGAAATCGTGAATAACATTCGCAAACGACGGTCTCTCACTCCTCAACGAAATAAGAGACGTCGCCCGAGAGTCACAAACGTTATCCGAATCACTCCTGAGCTCGTGTCAAGGATCGTTCCCGAGAACCCATCAAAGGCGCCGAAAAATATGTCGAATGTTGTTGGCGACGGGGCGGTCGTGGGCGCCGCTGGCGTCCGGGATTTTGGCATGAAAATTGCCGACACGTTGCTGAAGAACATGAGCAGCGTTGCGGATCCAAAGTTTCCTTACGTGATGCGGAAATCCTTGAATGACTGCTTTTTGCGACGGCAATCTGAAGTGCATGTCCTCGACTGCAGGGTGGGTTTTCAAAATACAATATATATTTTTTATTCTCTCCTTCACCTGCATCACTGCGTGCAATAATAACAAATAGATTCCTACTGTTCTGATTTCCTATACCCGAAGCTAATCTATTGAATCTTTAGACCAAAATAGATAAACTTACCATTTTTTTTGTCATTAATTACAGCGCTTCGAAGCAAGTAATACGAGGGTTGTTCCATTTGGACACGACTTGTGATACTTTTAGGGTAGATGTGCTCAGTGTTCAAAAAAATAACCGTGATACTGCACAGCCCATGATGTTCCAAGGTTCTTAGAATTTTTCCAGATTTTAAATGAAACATTTCCAATTATTGTGTGATGAGTACAAATTTTCCAGTTTCAGCTGAGCTATTCCAC